TTTCCTTCTTTGCCAGGAGGTCTAGATTCCTTTGTGTAATCTCCACTGCTCCTCCCCTTCCCCTTCCTCGCGCTAATTGGGTTATTTAAGGATAATTGTTTAAATGAAAGGCTTGCCAGCTCCTGGTTAATTGACATGGACAGGGAGTTCATCGCAGATCGCTGGGGCGGATGAGCGCTCCGAACTGTTGCCAGATCCCATTTCTCGCATTTTGGAAAAAGGGCTCTTCAGCGCAAGATTATGCGACTTAAGACGCGATGCTTGCTAGATCACATTTAGCACATCAGACATTTCAACAGATAGCAGAGATCTGGAGAGCACGTACGCCTGCGCCTGACTGCTTCCATATGGCACTCGGATCCAAAACACAGCCTCACTCTTCACTCGATGCTGCTGACTTAGATGTATGAAGACGTATCGTCGCTCAGCCATGAGGTTTTTAGATGCTTGGAATTAAGATCTGCCTCAAATGTGACATTCAGCCTAATTAATGAACAATCTGAGAGAATATCGGAGAGCTGTGAGAAGAATAAAGGGAGTTTTTTCTGTTTAATTTACTCAGCTTTAGTAGTTTCTATGAGTAATAGCAAGCAGCACATATCTGCTGTGATATTTGTTTCAAGCTGTATATTTAAAGCATATTTTCATGCAAAATGTGATTATTAGAGCTTTGTCATTACTCCTCCATCAGCAAAGACTATGGCACCTTTTATGTGCTATAAAACAATCTGTACACATAACTCCAGGTAATATTAACCCTCATGTTAAACTCATCAGATTTCAAAGTGTCTTTTGCGTCACTTGAAACATGACAGTCTACGTTGATGTCAAATCCAGAGTGATGAAGTGCTGGGATTCAAGAAGAGCTCCAAAGATTCATGATCATGAAGAGAGTTCTAAAGAGTTTGGAGGGCAGATGATGCACCTCCATCTCTCCTGCATCCGCATTTGTAATCTGCATCACCAGCGTAGCTACGTGGTCACTGACGCCAACATTGTTACCACGGCAACACATGCTGATAGACTGCTGATGTCTGGACACACAAATCTGCAGACAGTTGTCTCAAAATATCTCATTTGAGAAATCCAGTTTGTCTGCAGTCTGAACATAGCCTTAGTGCTTCTGAAGGATTGCTGCTAGTGGTAAGCGACAAAAAATAGACTTGAAGCATTATTGCCACTCCCTTGCGTTTTACATGCCAGTGTTTAGAGGATCTGTGGCTAAAACACAGTGGAAACACTGCAGTTCTGTGCTGCAGACATCTCTATCTCCTGGTTATCTGGTTATTAGGCTGTGGATTATGTCTATATACCACACCGCTATGACAAAGGAGTAAACAGAACACAAAAAACAAGAACCAAAGAATCAAAACCATATTGTAGTCGATACCCAGTTTATTTAAATATGCCAGTGTCAGCTCTGATCTGATCCTTTAGATGTTTCCAGAAACAGCAAAAGTGCAGTGCAAACTGAATCCAGTGTGTGATAATGCAAAAAGCCTTTGCTTTGAGTACAAGGGTTCAAAAATAAAGATCTGAACATCCCTACCATCACCACAGGAGCTATTATTAACACACATGCAGTGGAACATGCTGTAGCTTTTAATTAGGGTTAACATGTTTATACACAGTATGTTTTGAATTAATGACCTTTTGTGTTTGTTCATGTGAATGATGAGAATATCAGCGCTGTAATGAAGAATTAGTCATTCAGAAGAGTCACCATAAAGAGTGAACAGCCGTCTCCATTACTGTTATCATCCACTGCCTTACTTTCCTTTATTATTTCTTTAGGCAATTTTTTTTTCATTGTCTTGTTTTTATTTCTGCACTACAGCTTGTTATAATCATCACACAGACACTTTGACAGTGTGATTGCAAACAAAGAAGCTCTCTGCACAAAAATACAATAATAATAAAAATAATAATAATAATAATACGAGACTTCAGCACTCTGGCAGAGTTGTGCGTGAACAGTCTGGTGTTGGGATCTGTCAGAGGCTGATGTGCGGCTTTCTTTTTTCCCGCCATCAATTCCCTTTTTTGAAAAAGCCGAGCTTTCAGCTCCTCAAACAGTTCTCCTCTGATTGGTATCGCGCACAGTTGTTTTCTTTTTCTCCAAAAAAACGCTGCTCTTTGAAAGACTGGAGTGTCTCCCACAGTGAATCAGTCGGGATATGACACCCTGAATCCGCTGGTTCGTCCCACTCAAAGACATCTTTACCGGCGGAGCCTGTGTCGTTTTGTCCGTGAAGTCTCTCTTTTGTTCCTGGATGGTGTGAATTATTGTTCTGTCACAGTAAATGGCGCAGTTTGGGTTTGGGAGCCGATGCAGGGATGACATTTCTCAGTCTGTGGCTGCTGTTATGTAGGACGTCTGAGTGAAAAAAGCCACCATTCCTGAATAAAAGAACCATCAGCACACAATGCCACCTACCAAAGCACCTCTTACTGCTCAGTGCAAAGCTTTACTACTTTTCTTCCAGTGTTGGGCTCAAGAATGCAAAACCAGTATGTTTTTGATTGTATTATATGCTTGCAAAGTTTATTTGCAAAACAAGGTGTAATTTGAATGTGTCAGGCATAACATTATGACCATCTCCTTATTTCTACGCTCATTGTCCATTTTATCAGCTCCACTTACTATATAGGGGCACTTTGTAGTTCTACAGTTACAGACTGTAGTCCATCTGTTTCTCTGATACTTTGTTAGCCCCCTTTTACCCTGTTCTTCAGTGGTCAGGACCCCCATGGACCCTCACAGAGCAGGTACTATTTGGGTGGTGGATCATTCTCAGCACTGCAGTAACACTGACGTGGTGGTGGTGTGTTAGTGTGTGTTGCGCTGGTCTGAGTGGATCAGACACAGCAGTGCTGCTGGAGTTTTTAAACACCTCAGTGTCACTGCTGGACTGAGAATAGTCCACCAACCAAAAACATCCAGCCAACAGTGTCCTGTGGGCAGCGTCCTGTGACCACTGATGAAGGACTAGAGGATGACCAACACAAACTGTGCAGCAGCAGATGAGCTATCGTCTCTGACTTTACATCTACAAGGTGGACCGACAAGGTAGGAGTGTCTAATAGAGTGGACAGTGAGTGGACACAGTGTTTAAAAACACTAACAAAGTATCAGAGAAACAGATGGACTACAGTCTGTAACTGTAGAACTACAAAGTGCACCTATATAGTAAGTGGAGCTGATAAAATGGACAATGGGCGTAGAAACAAGGAGGTGGTCATAATGTTATGCCTGATCGGTGTATATCACATTGTAACTAGCAAAGAGTTTGTGTCAAAAGAGCAGATTCTAAACTTTAAATCCATACCACACTTGTGTGTGTAAGTGGAAGAAGAAATATTTTATAGAGCTCTCAAGTCGTGTGGTGATTCTGTAGTCGGTGTCATATATAAGGAATATAAGGAATTCCATGATCTGAGCCAATTTTCTCTATGGGGAAAAATGAACGGCATGATAATTTCCACCCTTATGGTGCCCTGCAGTAAACTAAAATGTACCAAGCCTGATACATTTTGCTGTACATGCATTTCTATGGAGTTCATTTTGTGCCAAAAGTTTTAAATAAAAGAATAAAATCTACAAGCAAAGTATTACATATCAAAAATGACCAAAACATTTTGCAAATACAAACAATGAAATTTAAATCAAACTTAACTTTTCAAAAGGATTAGTACTCATTTTCACTCATTCTGACATAAATTTGTTACTCATTTTGCCAGTTTTTGCTTTATTTTGTTCTGTTTGCTGTTTTAGCTTCTTGAATTGCTCCTGAAATGACTGGATTCTAAATCATTTGGTCAACTGATTTAGAGTGACAGGTGGTAAATTATTTCTATTTGCAAAATATTTTGGACGTCTGCAGGAGTTTTAGTTTGCTTGTACTATGTGTGTAGCAGTATTTGTATTCTGAATTCTTAAACCTGTAATGCTGGTGCAAAAAAGTGTCTATTTCTGTTGTTTTATTTAAATATTTGCTCTACTAAAGCAGTTTCTCAGAGCTGTTGTGTTTATGTGATGTGTAAATAATGCACATCTAACAAAGCCACAAATCAGAGATTTTTAAAAGTTTTTATCACTGCTTTTTTGAATAACAAACAATAGGAATATGTCACGTCAGTAGTGTTTTATTGTGACTCTGATTAAACAAATCAATAATACACTCATACTGATCAGAGAAATCACAGTGCTTCCAGCAGTCAGCAAAGCCTCGTCTTTAATACAGTGATAGGAAATTCAGTGGCTGAGAGAAACCTCCACTTCTACATGCTAGACTTCATAAAATTATGAAAATGTATATGAAAGACATTTTAGTTTACCACAGTCTATGATGACAGTTATGATTTTCAAAAACAGAATTTATTTTACTGTATATATCTGATTAGACCTGGAGTCTATTATGATTTGATTTTGATTTATTGTTGAGTTTCTTTGTTAAAAGAAAAATCATCTTTTGCATTTTTGCCATATTTTTGTCATAGCTTGGTACCCAAATAGTAAGAGTGAGAACTTAAACTTGTGAGTAATTAATGTGAATAAAATATAAATGTATTTCATTACAAACTCACTATGCAATAAATGTGTAATTACATATTTATATTTGAACAGCATGACAGAACAAAACAACTCCGTTTTAGGGTTGGATATAAACATACACATTTAACTCTTAGAAGTTGAGTTATTACTTTTGTTTACTATACAATTCAAATGCATTTCATTACATACTATGTAATAAATGTGTAATTACATAATTATATTTCAATAATATGACAAAAACAGAAGTAATAACTCATCCTCTATTGGTGCTTAAGGCTTTGGTGCAACATTCAAGCAAGAACCAAGCAAGCAGGTATCACTGGTTCTCTGGTGTTCCTGGACGTGTTCTTGGTGGATTTTGTGGAGTTTTTCAGGCGGTGATTTGTTGTGTGGTTTGAGTGTCTTTGTTATCATGTTTTAGTGACTGTATTTGGTGTAATTTTAGGGTCTGGCGGAGGGACAAACTGCCCCATGGGAAACGGCCAAGAAAGACGAGAACCGCAACAAGAATCGCTATGGCAACATCATTGCTTGTGAGTACCGAAAAAACATGGAGAGCATGAAAACCTGCCAGTGTTGCTAATAATCATACAGTCTGGGACTGAACTGCTGTGCTAAACTGCCACTTATAGCATCACGTGTACATTAATGGCTTATTTCTTATGCTAATTTGTTCTGATCCATATCAGACACAGTCTAATAACACTGGGTCTTGTAGATGCTACAGTGTCTTAGGAACAAGACTAAGTAGAACCTGCTCTGACTGATGCTAATGGAAACCGTCCCCATTCACCACTGTACGAAATCAGTGGAGGACTGGAAGTTAGCGCTGATCTGGCTATAATTAAAGTAATATGTCATACTGAAAGGCTAATGTTGCTAATAATCATACAGTCTGGGAGTGAACAGTTAGCTTTATGTGAATGGGACCATGTTAATTGGTCCCTACTACCTTTCTCTTGTTATTAGCAGCATTAGCATTGTTTTCCTGTTCTTTAAAGACGTCCTGCAGTCGGTCTTTGGCTTGTGCAGGTTGATATGCTGTAGCGTGTAGGACTGTTACTGTAAGGCCTAGTAAGTAAACGTATTGCAAATCAATTCAATCAAATCAATTGTAAACCAGCTTAAACTCATCAAACCACAGCTGTGAGCACAAGGAAGACCACCACTTCAAAATAAGAGTTACCTTAAAGTCCACATATCTACTGAGATTCTAAAATTTATCTAAAAATTTATTTAATATACATTTTGTGGTGACTGCAGGGTTAAAATACAGACTGTTGTTTCCAGTTTCAGAGGACTTACATCTAAGTTTGGGTAACCATGTAGCAATTACATGCTTTTATAGACATTTCCCCCGAGTTTCAGACCTAAATAGGGATGAACGATGACATTAATCATATAGTGGTTGGTAAATAATTGTGTAAAGGAATTGGGTGGATGTTTAGACGTTTAGATTTGGCCAATTGTTCACACTAATATTTGATAATATGTTTATTACATTTGAGACAGGAAGAATGTTTGTGATGCTGAGTTTCTGCACTAAAATATCTGCATTTTATTCATTTTATTGCGTTTCACTGCCGTTGGAAGAAAATCTCCATTTTTTCCGTTTTTCAGTTTTTGACATAATTTGAAAATGCCTGTTGCTCTTTACATTGTCTGTGAATTTCATGAAGAATGGAGCAAAAGAAATGGCCCAAAATAACTCTGAAAAAACTCTGGTTCCATTGACTCACATTAAAAGTAAAGTATGTTTTTTCCCTCTCCTGTAAAGTTACGATTTTGGAGATACGAGGTTTTCTTCCGACAACAGCAGTTTGTAACTGTATCGTTACTCCTCTGTAACTAATCCAGGTGGATTTAGTTTCAATTTCTACATTTTATACATGTTTATGTATCAACATTGGCAGAAATGTACATGAAAATGATTGAATATTGGCATATTCGCATATCAGTGCATCCAGAGTCATACATGTGGAATAATCTTGACTGACCCAGTCAGTCACCCAAGCTGAAGCCCACTGAGCAGCCAATTCACTTAATAAAGATAATTTTATATGCAGGTCTGGAGGAACATCACCAGAGGAGATATAGTGACATATACGACTCTTCATGACAGTTTAAGATTACACTCATTATTATTTGAGAATATTAATACTAATTAATTCCTTCCTGAAATGATGTAATGGTGTATATGTATGTAAATGAATGTCATTTGCATAAATGTAGATGTATTTACCCTCAAATCAAGCTGGCTGCCTGTACAGTACAGAGCCAGACACTGTGCAGGTACATATGGATTGCACACCTGCTGCGTTAAAGACACAGAGAACCTAAATCTGTTTTCTGTCTAATTAGGTTAATCTTGCTCTTACAGGCAGACAGTAAACATGTAGTAAATAAACCCTTTGAATAATGTTCCAATGACCAATAAATGATCAATATACTCCACCATATTTCTTTCCTCTCTATGTAAACTGGGTCCTATTTTTTGGGTAGCACTTCCGTAAGGATTTCCCTGACCAATCACAAGGCTGTGTCTCTGGCTCCACCCACACAGAACAGTTTCAGAGTCAGAGAACCTTGGTGCACTAAAGCTAACCCAGAATAACCAAAGGCTAGCAAGCTAGACCACCTGTGTTCAGCAGCCTGACGCTCATTTATCCAACACCAATATTGTTCACTCATCTGTGCCTTCATTCAGGCATCGCTTCAAATCAAATCACGTTTATTGTCGCATCATATTTACACAGGTGAGTGAAAATCCTAGTTATGCAGCTCCCTTGTAGTACTTAAATACAAAAAATAAGAAAAGAAAATGCAGCAACAGCAACGATATATATAGCAAAACCTTGTATCTCCAAAATGGTAACTTTACAGGAGAAGAAAAAAACATGCTTTACTTTTAATGTAAGTCAATGGAACCAGACTTTTTTCCAAGTCATTTTCAGTCGTTTCTTTTGGTCCATTCACCATGAAATTTACACAAAATGTAAAGGGAAACAGGCATTTACAAATTATGTCAAAAACTGAAAACCATCAAATATAGAGATACAAGGTTTTGTTCCAACAACAGCGATATGACCGATATGACATTCATATGGAAATGACAGTCATTTACAAACATATACACCATTTCAGGGAGGAATTAATTGATATTAATATGCCCAAATAAAGATGAGTGTAATCTTAAATTATTCTGTCATGAAGAGTCGTATATGTCACTATATCTCCTCTGGTGAAGCTCCTCCAGACCTGCGTATATAATCATGTCTTTATTAAATGAACTGTCTGCTCAGTGGGCTTCAGCTTGGGTGACTGACTTGGCCAATCACAAATATTCCATGTACTAAGACGTGATTTCAAAGGGTTAATATAACACTAAAGTTTATAATCACACACTGCACAAAATGGTATCGTGTCAAGTAAAATTTACTTAAATATAATTAGCAAATCTAATATTTCTCCTGTTGAGATTCTTATAAGCTTATTTTATTATTATTTAAATCATTTCTAAACATTCTATTTATGTTAAGTAATTTTATTAAGTATAATTATCTCACTGTATTGCCAGATAATTTTGCTTGTTGTAAGAAATGAGCTTGAAACCAGCAAAACTATCTGTCAGTATAGTGAGATAATCATACTTAATAAAATACCTAAAACAAGTAAATAATGTCTAGAAATAAACTGAATAATCCTATAATGAGTGCACAAACATCTCAAACTGGGAAATATGGTATATAAATAGGCTAGATTTAAGTTAATTTCACTATTTTTGCAAACATTTGTAATATTTTCCTCCCTGGGACTTTAAGTATTTGCACTGTTATATGAAATTAGTAATATATTTGTCTTTGATTAGAAGCTCCGCTCCTGTTAGCAGCGCAGCTCTGTATGCAGCATCTCTGTTACACTGGAAGACATTGATGCCGTTATACTAAAGGTTTCACTGTAACTGCTGAGACATTCTTTAAAGCGAAAGTCTTTGAAATGAAACACTGGCCCCAAATGAAACAGCCTGTCATTGGCTGATAGCCGGCGGGTATTATGATGAATTTGCTATCGTTAAAGCCTCTTAATTACACACGCGGGTAATGAAAACTGTCCATCTTACTGTAAGGGGGTTCTAAAGTTCATTTTCATGTGGAAATGGAGAAATAATGTTTTTATTCCTCCGTGTAAGAGAGCTCTGTTCTCACTGCTGTGGGCCGCTAGCAGAGCTGACAGTGTGGTGGAAGGATTTCTCACTACTTGTGAATCTTTTCTGGGCTGCGTTTGTGACATCAGAGGGAAGAAAATACTAAAAATACTTAGAAATACTTAAAAATACTTACAAATACCAAAAGAACATGGTTGCAACAAAGAGGCTTACAAAATAACAAAGACCGTTCTTCAAAGTAATCGTTCTATTAAGACCCATGAGCTCTACAGAACCGTTTCATGCTTTATGGTTCTTTCCCCGGTGAAAAGGTTCTTCAGGTTGGTGGAGAATGTGTTTGATTCTATAAAGCACCAAAAAGGTTCTGCTATTGTGATGATGTCAAGCTTGTAACTAAAGCAGAACCCTTTTTGAAGCTATTTGTTTTACCATTTTACCATGAAAAGAACCGTATATGCATTAAATGATTAACAAAAGTATAAAATAAAAGCCCCACAAATTAAATAAAAGATAAAATAAAAGAATGAAACAAAATTCAAACTAAATGCTATAAGTAAAAGGTACAAAATAATAGTCACAAGAATGAAACAAAGTACAAAATAAAAGCCACAAGAATGAAATAAAGTACAAAATAAAAGTCACGAGAAAGAAACAAAGTACAATTAAAGCCACAAAGTACAAAATAAAAGTCACAAGAATGAAATAAAGTACAAAATAAAAGCCACAAGAATGAAATAAAGTACAAAATAAAAGCCACACGAATTAAATGAAGTACAAAATAAAAGCCACAATGATGAAATAAAGTTCACAATCAAAGCCAAACAAAAGAAACAAAGTATGAAACAAAAGCCACAAGAATGAAATGAAGTGCAAAATAAATCCACAAGAAAACTACAAGCATAAATATTACATTAACCCAAAAAACAGCAACAAAATACCTAATGCAACCAACAAATATCTGGCTGATATTCAGACACTCAGTTTTACTTTATGATTCCTGTTCCAGAGAGTCTCTTCCACAGGCGTCAGTACTCGACAAGCAGAAGTTCTACATTTTGTCTTTGATTAAAAAGCTCCCAGGTGGAAAGAGTTTCCAAAGCCACTGTTTCTGTGCTGGTCTTTAGGGAACAGTTACATGTTCTCTGTTCTTCTCCTGCACTGACACCGTCTAATCAAGCTGTAAAGTAACAGTGACGAGCCAGACAGCCCAGTTACTTTACTGAGGACATGTAAATAAACAGACGGAGGTGATTAATCAAGGTTATTAATTTCTAAGCACTGTCATTTATTTGGCGGAATTTTTGCTGATGTATTGAGGAGTGTGAGCGCAGCGTGAGTCAGGAACACACACAAGCGTAAACAGTGATG